ATATATATATATATATATATACGCGTACAAGAACACGTGAGCATTACAAGGCGCTTAACAAGAATAAAATAAAACAATAAAAGCTTCGCACGTTTATGTGGGCCGTCGTACGTCAGGTACATTTGCCAACCCCTCGCAAAACTGTTTGCCTTACACTCGTGCAAAGGTATACTACACCTCACGATTCTTGCATGCTTCGAAGTAAAGTGATGAACTTGTTTTAGCCGCTTTCCTTCCCGTTTGCTTTCACACGATGCATTTTGTGTACAAAATTTTGAATCGAAACTGAACACACTGACGGAACACCAACGCGTGATGCACGATCAATCGCTAAATTTCCACCAAAATTCTGTTAAGTGTGCTTTTTTTCACCTTTTTCTCTTTTTTCTTTTTTTTCTCTCTCCTTTTTTCTTTAGGACGAATGTGTCGTTGCATCGAAACGTTGCATTCACTTGATGTAATCTCTTTTTTTACGTAGGGTTTAACATCCCTCCAATAACGAACAAACGACAAACAATCTCTATGTTCACATTAGTTCCAAACTGTGATTTAGGTTCATTAAAATAAGTAGTGTGTCGATCCGTGCTTGACCGGTAAACGAAGGAAGCTTGTTGAACAGAGCATCACACGAGGCTCATTTCTTAGTTCTGAATGAAATAATATATCGCAACCGTTTACCGGACAAATGCACAACAGTCGAGTAGAGAAATACTATTATTGATATTAGATGTGAAAACAGTCGTGATAAAGTTTATCATAAAAATGGGGGAGGATTATCTCGGAGATTCAACCACATTTATCGCCTTTTCCAGACGAATTGGGCATCAACAAGGACAGATACAAGTCGCTCGCCGACGAGATGGACTCCACGTTCGCCGAACTGGCAGGATACTAAGCTATTCCGTCCTCTTGTGCTTCCTATTATAATTGCGATGTCATGCGTGGGGATGGAGTTGCAATGTTACGCGTAAAAGGGACTCCAGGACACGACCAACCGTTGCACGATCAGCGAAAAAAAGAAAAAAAAAAAAAGAAAAAAGGAAAAAACGCACGAGCTGAAGAGACGATCGTTGGGAATCGGATGATATCGTTGACGACGATCACCGCGACAAAGATGGTCAATGTATGGAGATCCGTAAGGAATTTTACTCTGTTACACTGTTGTACGAAATATTACACAAGACCCAATAAACTGCTGTAATGTGGTATCTCGTTACTAATTACAAGGACTTTTGATAGATTTCCA